CCCACCGCTCTCCCCTGCTGGGGCAGGAGGCAGAAGCTTGATCCTGCAGCAGCCAAGCTTCCCCCTCCCCCATTTCTTCCCCCAGTGTGGCGCTTTCTGGCCCCTCTGCCCCTCCTCCTCCTCCTCACCGGGCAGGCAGCGTGCCACTCAAAAATCGGCTCACATGCTGTGTTTGGCACGCATGCCATAGGTTGCCAACCCCTGTTCTAGGATGTTATAGTGTATTGTGTTTATGTATCTGCATAGCAGGTTGAGATTTCTCAGTGACGTGCTAATGCAGATGATGTCTGGGATAGAGTTTGACATTAAGTGCCAAAGAATTAAATCTTCAGAGGAGACACCATTTTAATCATATCACAATTAACAAAAAATAAACACATATGGATAACAAAGTTTGTAAGTTTTAAAGGCTACAGAAAGTTTCTATGCTTAATTTTCGGTTACAAAAAAAGACAATAAATACAGGATTTTTTTTTTGTAAAAACAGATTCTAAAAACTACATTACCTCTGATATAGCACAAAGTATTTCGAATACATGGAATTCCTTAGATGCTACAGCATTTTATAGTTATTGCTCAATGGACTGGTCAAAAGTTCTTCACTGTTAGACACCCTGTTTTATCTTCATAACTTTAACTCAGCTATTTTAACAAATACTCTGCTTACAGAAATGTGCTTTCGGATACTATGTAGGTAGCTTGGATGATTAATTTCCTCCACTAGAAACAAAGCCAAAGACAGATTTGGAGAAAGCCAGTTGTGTGGAACATGAACTCCCGCACTGAGGAATTGAAAAGCTCATTGCATATCATGCAGGAAAAAAAAAAAGTGAATTCTGTTTCTGTGTACGTATGTGCCATTTGGAAAAACCGAGTGGGCACTAGTTGAATGTCAGGCTTGCTTCGGCCAGATGTAGCACGATGCCATTTGCTTGTAAGCAGCATTTCAGCTGACGGAATGCCCTCCTCCATTTGTGAATCCACTGATCCTTCATTTGTTTTCAAGCACATTCTTCATTGCTTTCAAGTTACATTGTTATTAAAATAAGTCTCATGAAATTGGAACTAACACAAAATGATTTCTTTTATAGAAGTGATAAATCACCCATGATTAGAACTTCACAAGTCGGGATTC